TGGTTCAGAGACTTAGAACCAGGGAACTGCATTTCTGTTTCCTACAGGTGAGCTTAGTTGTGGCAAGAGCAAGATTGTTTCTCAAAAAACCACACTTAATTTCAAGGTCTGGTCTACATACACGGTAGAGATAAATAGGGTCCAAAGCTCAGAGAACAAATACAGGTCTCATAAATTAAAAAATGAAATAGGGGTGCCTGGGTGACTCAATCAGCTGAGTTTCCGACTCTAGGTTTCAGCTCGGGTCATGGGCTCAGGGTCATGAGCTCAAGCCCCACAATGGGGGGTCTGCACTTCTACCCCTTCCCCCCAAAATAAAGAAATCTTTCTAAAACAATGAAATAAAAATCTACCCTCTATACAAGGTCTTTTACTGCTCCCAAATACTTCCGCTTTCACCTGCCAGACATTACTAGTAGGATTTGAACCTCTCACTGGAGATGAAGAAGAAAACAGTAATAAAGTCAAAATGGGAAAATGTATGAAGCTAGACAAACATCTGAGTTTTCACCCAATCTATCCATCGACAAGTTTTTATTAAGGACCTAAATATTTTGCAATGTGCTAGGTGCGCTGGAAGACATGAGAGAAGGCAAGGACAATGTCTGACCTTGCAAAATGTACAATCTATCTTGAGAGGAAGAAAAAACCTAACACGTGGTATAATCTGGAAAGGTTATTAAATAAGTAAGACTGACCACATTTGAAATCTTTCATTTATAGTTGGTGTGGAATCCAAATTTCACATTTGGATTCACATTCACATTCACAAATTTTGTAGGTCAATTATTTGGAATTCAAAAGCAGTTTCCCATAGAAGCAATGTTGTACACAGCAGTTAGGTTGCCAGGAAATTCCAGGGAGTCTTTCAAACTCATATTGTACAAGTACTATAGAATCTAGCCACACATAGCATGCTTCTGTGGGAAAACAAGTCAAAAATTCTAACTTGGAATGCAAAGAACACAATCCCCTGTGCTGCCAGGGTGAGGACACCTTTTACAAAACTGGCCAAGAGAATAAGAATTCCCCTCAGTCATTCATGGAGACCCTCAAAGACTCCACCTGGGCAAAGCATAGGGATAGAGATTTGGAAGGAAGGGTGGAGTGTGTGGAATCACCTTTGGGAAGACCAGATCCTTTGCTTTATTCTGAGGGGCCCATGGCCCTTTTCTTCTATTACTACCTATTAATTCTGACCCCAAGTCCTCTCCTTCCCTGTTCCACAGAGGAACAGAAGGCAGTCTCACTGTTCCTCTTTTGTTTTCTGAGGCAAACACATAGTCCTTTCAGTGGCTTTTAGGGTGATATAAAAAATAAAGGATACCTGTAATCATTTATAATGTATTTTCTGTTTAAACTCTATACTTCTGTCTTTACTCCACCCCTACTTGTGCCATCAGAAAAATCTCACTTTAACAATGATATTGTGGTTATTTAAAAACAGAATTCTTATCTTTTAGAGATATGTACAGAAATATTTACAGAAGTAGTGATATATTTGGGATTTGATCCAAAATAATCCTGTAGGGAGATGTGGGAATGGTGAGATACAAAATAAAGCAAACTGAAGGCTGGGTGGTGGAGGTTACAACACTATTCTGCCTACTTTTGCCCATAAGACATTTAATACAAAACAATAAACATTACCAATGTGGGGAATCCCACCTTGAACCTGAACTACTGCTGGAGTGAAACAGGTGCTGGGGCAGAGTGGGAACAAGGAAGAAGGCTAGCAAAGCTGAGAACAAAGAGTTTTTGTGCCCGTCAGGCTGAGAAGGAAGTTTCCGAGTGGCTATTCCCATGAGTTAGGGCCTGCTGTAGGTACAAAGAAAGGGGGAAAGCAGTATGGGCTAGACTATCAAGAGGAGGGAGGAGATAGAATTTAAGTTCTACTTGAAAGAGGTAAGATATAGTTGACTTGAAGGTAGAGAAAGGGACAAGTCAAGGAAAAAGCATGAATAAGGACTGTGATGGGCAAAGGGCAAGCATATGCCATATGGAGTAGCAAGAGTGACGGGATGATATATTTGAACAAGATGAATTTGACAGCAGCACGCAGAACTGTGCCGCAGTAATTTAGGTTTGAGTGGGTACAGTCCTTGACATGAGGTGTGGCAACAAGGCCAAAAAGGGCAAGAGAAACAAAAAAAGAAAGAAGGGCAGGCAGGGTGTTAGCAACAAAGAAGGACATTTGGGAGACAGCTGATAGGTTTTAAGTGAGCCTGAGTGTGAGTGTGTTCATTATTTGAGAAAGTAAAGAGAAAGTTCCAGAACAGAGACCAAAGCTCAGGGGAAAAAATCAGTTAGGGAACAATAGGAAAGGAAACCAGGGAAAAAGCAAAAGACAACTCAAAATGATTTAAAAAGAAAGAAAAAAGTCTGGCACTATGGACCTCAAGGGACGAAATCCTTCAAAACCACTATGGTTGACAAAACCAGACCCAGGAGAGATGTTAAAAGAGCTCAGAACTGAAGCAAGGTCACAGCATTCAGCTACATTATAGGACACCTCTGAGAGAATAGTTTTAGTAAAGTGAAAATGAAAACTGGTTTGCAGGTGGTTAAAAGAAGCACAGGGAAATAAGGAAAATCGGGTAAAGACCTATTCAAGTAGAGCAGCAAAAGTAAGGACAGAGATGATTAGAAGTTGAATCTCAGAGGTACCTGAGTGAAATGAAAAGATTTTTAACTTATTTTTTAACCAGAGAAGAATCAAGTATATTTACTGTCAGAAATATTTTAAATCCCAGAGAGACAAAGAAAATGCTGGATAGAGAGCACATAGATGAGGAAATGCAGAAAGGGTGGAGTTCGAGAGGAAGGAGTATCTTCCTCTCTACTGGGACGGAGGGAAGAGTCTGAGGTTGGACAATGCTATGTGTGGTGAGCCAAAGAGACTAGTGGGAAATTAGAGAAAGGGAAGTGGCCAGCCCCTTGAGAAAACTGAAGTCCAGAGCTCAACTATTACCCTATAGCTTAAATGAGCTATAGAAAGGCCAAAGCAGTGGCCTAAAGCATCACTTTCAAGAAATGACTCTCATCGCAGGATATAGAATACATGTGGAGAGTAGCAGATGGTGAGAAGAAGATGAGGTGGAGAGGCCAGTTTAAGAGCAGGGTTTTTTCCCAAGAGAATTTCACTGTCTATACATCGTGAATACAAGCCATCTTCTTTTATCTTCCTCTTCCTACGCCCAGAGTCATTTCTGGGACAGCTTTGAAAATGGTTGTGTTCAGTCATAAAGGGAAATCAGCTAGACTTGGCTCTGATGGCAGTGATAGACAATGGCTTCATTAGGGCAATCTTAATACACATTTAGGGCTCTAAAGAGGTCACAGGGGCTTCAAGAGCTTCCACAAATGGCTATAAGCCCTCCTTTGCTCTCATGGAAGGACAGAGCTGCTCCTTTAAGCCCAAGATATGTTCCCTCCCCTATTTGGCCACTACTCATTCACTGAGATCTTGATTTTGCCCTAAGTTACATATAACAAATGAACATTTTATGAGGTATAATTTTTGGATGCTGAGAAGATATGGTCAAGATATTGTACAGATTAACCACAACATATCAGACCAGATTCTGACAGGTGAATAAGTGCTTTCCTCTACACTAAAATACAAATGAACAAGAGTGTTCATGCTGTAAGATTCTGTTATGGAAGATTATTCTTTTTTTCTCATTAAAATCCTACCCAGGGGCGCCTGGGTGGCTCAGTGGTTTAAGCCGCTGCCTTTGGCTCGGGTCGTGATCTCAGGGTCCTGGGATCAAGTCCCGCATCGGGCTCTCTGCTCAGCGGGGAGCCTGCTTCCCTCCCTCTCTCTGCCTGACTCTCTGTCTACTTGTGATCTCTCTCTGTCAAATAAACAAATAAAATCTTTGGAAAAAATAAAATAAAATAAAATAAAATCCTACCCAAATTTGAAGGACTTAAAAAAAAAATTCCCCTGGCTGGGACACCTGGGTAGCTCAGTCAGTTAAGCATCTGCCTTCAGCTCAGGTCATGATCCCAGGGTCCTGGGATCAAGTCCCTTATCAGGCTCCTTGCTCAGCAGGGAGCCTGCTTCTCCCTCTGCCTGCTGCTCCTCCTGCTTGTGCTCTCTCTCTTTTGCCTTCTCTCTCTGGCAAATAAATAAATAAAATCTTTTTTTAAAAAATCCCCCTGCCTGTTAAAAGTTCTAACCTGATTTTATATCCTATAGATGAATACACAGTTCACTCTAAGTAACTAACTCAATCTGAAAGCTTGAAAATGGAGGCAGTAAGGGACAGACACAGGTTCCAGGGTGTCCTTATGGTTTCCAGTTTACTCTGGGCCCTGCCCCACTGACCAGCTTTCTTCCTGACCATCAGATCTGAGAAGCTTCAACAACTCAGGCATATAGCAGCCTTCCGTACAATTCTTCATGTGCTCATAGGACTGTACAAGGCCTCATCCTTATAATACTTATTCTCCACCCTTATGGTGGTCCAGCTTCTTTCCTCCAACCTGGATACACCCATCCTGTCATTTTACTTAATGAATTATATTAAAATGACTTACCACAACTGAGACTACAGAGTTGCCCAAGTCTACATGTCTGTGAGGGAAGACAAAGATAACCTCCTTATCAGAATTTCCATGCTCCGCAAGTAGGGGGGCAGTGGGCAGGCCAATACTTATAAAACCAACAATTATGCAATTACATAACTGGATAGAGAAAAAAACAGGCACAACCGTAACCTCATAAGAACCCACAATGTGCTATTCTTTATCAACAAACATGATAGGCCTAAGATACCATTTGTAAGGCATTCATTTTGATTTGTAACTCTTATGGAGACAGGTTTGAATAGATATACTCACATCTAAAGTATCTCTCTTAACATACACAAGTAGAAGGATAGTCTCCTTTAAAACTTACTAGTACTTCAATTGTTAAAACTATATCTAGATGTACAAAAGTATTTTTATTATTCCCCCTTCCCCACAATAACATACCACATTTATACATTTACCTGAAATTCATCCATGATACTGAATGTATACTCGTGCCTGGCTATTACATGATGACAATTCTTACACAGATCTGCCGAAACAGAGAGAGACTTAAATGATTAAGTCTTGGAAGGTGTCTTAAGACTTCTATTTTCTATTTTCAGCATGGTGGTGCTTTAAAAGAATCTTAATGGATACATTTAACACAACAGTAGGAAACCCATTATAGTATCTACCTTGAGAAGAAATCCAAAACCCATCACATAGCAACGCTACATAATGACTCAGAGATTAACAGGCATATATTAATTCCCATTCTTAGAACTTGGAGAAACTGTGCTACTAAAAACAATCATAAATAAAAAGCCAATGCTAGACATTAAAGTGAGTTTAACAGTAACAAAAGACTCTAGTAAAAACATATAATAACTATGATTTATTGAGTGCTTACTGTGTGCCAGATACTGTTTTAAATACTTTTTATCTCTTTACTTAATCTTCTCAAAACCCGAAGAGGTAGATACTATTGTTCTCACCTTTTTCAGGATAAAGAAACAAAGCCACACCATGGTTAAGTAATTAGCAAGACTACAGAGGCAGAAGTGTTGGAAACAGAATTCAAACCTATGCATTCTGGCTCTAGAGCCCTTGCTCTTAACCACTATGTCCTACTACCTCTCTAAAGGAGTTTAAAGCGTTATGCCTAATATAAAGAAAAAGACTGTTCTACTTTAGAATATTTTCAATTCTAAAGGTTTAGCATCTTTCATATTCCTTTTTAAAAATATCATTATTTGCACATTTATTCCTTATATATTCAGAGCATACCAAAGAACCAGGAAACAAGCAAAAAGGGGGTGTGACCAGTTTAATTTCTTGTCACCATACCTGGGGACTTATAAGTACATATACTTCATCTACTCATAAAAATTCTTAAGAGTGCCAACCTCAGAACTGACTTGTTTCTATCATACATAATTTATTTGGTTCCCCAGTATTGAGGACGAGGAGCAGCATATGAAGATAGCACAGCAAAAGAAACAACAGACAGATGATGAGATGGGAGACAAAAATAAGCTATGAGAGCAGAAACAAGACTAAAAAAACCATAACATCCCCGGGTAATTTATATGGCAGCAAACAGCCCTAAACACTTCAGTAGCTGTTGCAGGACATCACTGTACCAGAGTATAGTAAAAAAAGAAACGGCACATAAATGACCCTAAGGTTTAAAAAAAAGTCTCTCTTGCGTGCCTGGGTGGCTCAGTCGTTAAGCATCTGCCTTCGGCTCAGGTCATGATCCCAGAGTCCTGGAATCGAGCCCCCATCGGGCTCCCTGCTTAGCGGGGGAGCCTGCTTCTCCCTCTCCCACTCCCTCGGCTTGTGTTCTCTCTCTCACTGTGTCTCTCTCTGTCAAATATATAAACAAAATCTTTAAAAATAAATAAAAATAAAAATTAAAAAAGTCTCTCTTGTTTCAGAAGGCATAAAGACTTTAAAAATAAACAACAAAAAATGGTACCTGAACCATAAGCTTTAGTTATCTGCAAGTCACTTATGCAAAGTCTGATGATGCTAGCATCTTTATTTTCCTCTTAAAAATCAAACTAGCAACTCTTTTGCAATACAACATTGAAACAGGCCTCATAAAACACAACACATCGGTAGGTATAACATATCAGCTTTCAAAAGCCAGTATCTGGGGTGCCTGGGTGGCTCAGTGGGTTGGGCCGCTGCCTTCGGCTCGGGTCATGATCTCAGGGTCCTGGGATCGAGCCCCGCATCGGGCTCTCTGCTCAGCGGGGAGCCTGCTTCCTCCTCTCTCTCTGCCTGCCTCTCTGCCTGCTTGTGATCTCTCTCTGTCAAATAAATAAATGAAGTCTTAAAAAAAAAAAAAAAAAAAAAAAGCCAGTATCTGCTACCAGAATTGCATGAAAATTAAAAGTCTACTTACGATCATAGGTAACTATTTCTTCTCCATCTTCCTCTTTCAAAGATTTGTTTGTGATCAGCATAAAATCCCGCTTACTACACACTGCACAGCCTGTAAAGTTCAGCAAGAAAGATCCATTTTCCAGGCAGATGTTACCCTAAAACATTAAAAATAGAAATTTAATTTTCTTCTATTTCAAAATAATTAATAGACTAAAAATTTCTAAAGGCAAAAAACATGGCCAGAATTTACTTGCTTGAAGTCTGTACCAAGTAATTTTTGAAATTACTAGCTTTCCTCTAGAAGTGCTATTTATGGCAAATAAAATTGATGCAGTGTTAAAGCTGTAAGTCTCTGAGGACTGCAACTGTGTTTGAGAGGACTAAATGCAAATGGATATTTAGAAACTTAATGAACCTTTAATAATATAAAATGTGAAAAGGAAAAATTAGAAAAATCTAATAGCCAACAACATTAAATGAGGCATAGCATAAAACTAGAATTAAAATCCAATCAAAATGGAAATACTGAACTAATGATAAAAATGATCTTATAAAATGTGATGCTCAGGGGACGCCTGGGTGGCTCAGTTGGTTAAGCTGCTGCCTTTGACTCAGGTCATGATCCCAGGGTCCTGGAATTGAGTCCCACATCAGGCTCCTTGCTCAGCGGGGAGCCTGCTTCTCTCTCTGCCTCTGCCTGCTTGTGTGCGCTCTCTCACTCTCTGACAAATAAATAAATAAAATCTTTAAAAAATAAGAAAGAAAAGAAAGGTGGCATTCTGTTACCTACCCATCTTTAAAAAAAAAACAAAACTGTGATGCTCAGTTGATTGTTGAAATAGCATTTTCTGATGTCTTAAAAAATAACACAAAATAAGCAAACAAGAATAAACTCTCATCTCTATAGATGACAGTCCTTAAGGGTATGTGCGACTCAGGCAGAGAAGATAAGCTCTGCAATTCATCAGACAGAGACCAAGGCATTCAAAAGAGAAAGGGATTTGCTTCATCACCGAGAAACTGTAAACAACGAACGTTGCTAGCTCAAGAGAGGTCTTTGCTAAAAGCTTACTAATAATAGTTCAGAAAGTTATTTTATCAATAATCTACATCAACCTCATTTCTGACCAGTACACAGAGTACTTTTAACAGCTGGTGTGACTAAAAACCAGTCAAATGAACACTCCTCCAATGAAACTATGTGCCTGATACTGTGAAAAGCGCAGTGAAGGATTAGAGGAGTCACCTCCTTCCTATCCCGAAGAGCTTATGAACTATCAGGAAAACCAGCTCTAAGTGATACCACAGTGAAGCCTTCCTGGAGTCCCAGCACCACTGTGAAGCTCCCCCTTTTGAGTGGCTCTTTGCTATATATTAAGGAAGAGATTAACTCTGTGCAGGCAGATAGAGTTGGGAGATAGTAAATCACAGGCACATCACCTTAACCACTAAAGGGGAGAAAGGCATTGGGATTAAAGTATAAATTTCCAGCTACTAAGAATGGGTGCTTTGCTTTGATGTTCTTAAAAATAAACATCACTGAAGTGTAGCTTCTATAAATAAAATAGGTGAATCACTTTTAACCACTATTCCAACCAAGATATAAAAATTTCTATCTTCCTAGGCGATCCTTTCAGGCTTTGCAGTCTATCTCCAACCCCCATCTCACCTCAGGCACCCCTTGATCCAATTCCTATCTTTAGATAATAGATTAGCCTGTTATAAAATTTTATACAACTAGAACCATGCGGTATACCCCTCTGCATCCAGTTTCTTTTGTTCTGTCCATATTAATCATCTATGTCGTTGTACTGCTAGCTCATTGCTTTTCATTGCCAAACGGCATGGATTCGTGTTGATAAGACTTTTGGGTCCTTTTCAGTTTGGGGCTATTATGAATAAAGCAGCTATGAAGATTCATTAAGTCTTGTGTAAACATGTACCTTTCTCTTCAGTAAACACCTAGAAGTGGAACTGCTAAATCAGATGGGAAAAATATGGTCCAGACAAACCTTAAAACTGCCCATTAGTTTTCCATTTTCTATTCCCACCAGCACTGTGAGTTCCAGTTGCTCCACATCCTCACCAACCTGAGGTACAGTGTCTTTTCTTACATTAACCATCCTCATCTTGTGGTATCTCACAGTAGTTTTTAATTCGTATTTAGTTTGTATTTGTATTTAATTTGTATTTCCCTCATGACTAATAACGTTAAGCATCTTTTCATGGTGCCTACACGTGTGGAGTTCCTAGTCTTCTGCCCGTTTTTTGAAAGTTAGGTTGTTTATCTTATCTAGTTGTAAGAGTTATTATTGGGTTGTAAGAGTTCTTTATATATTTTAGATACAAATCCTCTGTCAGATTTGTATTACAAATATTTTCTATAATTGGTGTACGATTTTTAAAATAATACCTTTTGAAGAGCAGATAGTTTTGATCTTATGAAGGCCAATTTATCAAATTTTTTCTCTATTTGCATTTGTCTTCTTTTTTTTTTATTTGACAGAGATCACAAGTAGGCAAAGAGAGAGGAGGAAGCAGGCTTCCTGCTGAGCAGAGAGCCTGATGTGGGGTTCGATCCCAGGACCCTGGGATCATGACCTGAGCCGAAGGCAGAGGCTTTAACCCACTGAACCACCCAGACACCCCTATGTTTGTCTTCTAAGACTAGTATTCCTCATCTATGAAAAGTATCTACCATAAATCTCCAGAAAATTTTATGAAACCAAAGATAAATATTACCTATTCATTCCACACTTAGAACTTCTTGACATGTTAATCCATTATTTTTCTCTGACAATTTTTTGGACGTGTACACTATACTTGCTACCATCATCTTATTGTCCTTTCCTTTGCTAAGCTCAAAGTGACTTCTGTTCTTACTGCCCTCAGAAATATCACATGACTTCAAAAACTCCCAGAGTTGGAAGGACCTTTCAGATTTCAAATGGTCAGTCTCTCCTGAACAACAGGAAGAGAGTTCAGTTTCTCCAATGGTTGCCCATTCCACTTTTGAAAACCTGTTAGAAAGTTCTTTGTTCTGATTCAAAGCCTACAATCCAATAACATCCACCCACTAATGCTTTCTAAATCTGCCTTCTGAAATTCCAGAATGACAGCCCTTTAATTATTTTAGAACAGAATAAAGTCACAAAATATAGAATAAAATCAGAAAAAAGTGCCAATGAAAGGCTCAATCACCTCAATCCTTTTCTCTATTCTTAAACTTTATCTTCACTTTCCTAATTATTCCCTGAAGCTGTCCATTCTGCTTGATTCTCCACATTCTTTTCCCAAGAAAACAAATCCTTTCATCTGTTTGAATCTTGCACCTAAACTGCAATTTTGTATTTTCACTTGACTCTTTGGATGTTACATTCTCAATCTTGAAGGAAACATGATAAAAACAATCTGACTGTGTGCACTTCAATTTCATTCTCTCTCCATATGCCTCCAACTTCTGTAATGATACTTTGAATTTCCCAACTGCCTAGATTGAAAACACTAAGATCATCTATAGCTCCTCCCTCCATTAAACTGGCTGAGGTCCAATTCTTTCCTTGAGATGAGGTCTTATACCTACACTACTGTTGCCATGGCTCCCCAAATACTCTGTAGGGCTCTCCCTTTTACATTTCCATCCTACCACAACCTTAATACACAGCCATAAGATTCATTCTCCTAAGTAACAGATTCCAGAATTATTTCCTTATTAGATTTTCTTGATGGATGCCCAAGGCCTGACATATAGAATCTAAACTTAATACAATTTTTAAGTCTTTTGATTAGCCCAGTTCTTAAGAATCCAACCTAATCTCTTTAGTACTCTTCACTACAAACACCTTCCTCCTGTGGTCTCTGGAAAGTGCAGTGTTCCTTACTGGATTCATGAAAATTTTTTACACTTGTAAAAAAGTATGAAAGAGAAACACAATAAAGTATATGAAACATAAATATACAATATAATGCCTCTACCCACTAGGTGTCAGTAGTACCCCCAGCTGTGACAATTAAAAATGTCTACAGATAGTGCCAAGTGTCCCTTGAGAGGCAAAAATCTCACCTGGTTGAGAACCACTGCTCTAACTAATTCACTTTCATTATTCATTCATGGTGTTTTATTCTCTAACTGTATCACACTTTCCAGTGTACGATTGCAAATAATGCTGTTATAAGCATTCTTATATAAGTGTCCAGGAACAAATGTAATGCATTTATTTCCCTAGAATGGAACTGCCGGGTCATTCCGTATGCATATCTTCATTTGATAAGGTTAAAATTTTTTCCAAGGAGGTTGCACCGGGAGTGTTCTTGTATATCCTTCCCCAAAGAATAAGTATTAAGAGACAGAGACAACCACAGATTTTCTACCTCCCAACCATTACAAGAATCCTTGTTCTTGTTACATTTCCCAAGCCTCCGGCTCCTCCTTTCCTTCTTTTCTACCCCAATCACACTGGCCTTCAAGTCCCCAGTGAAGTCCACCTTCCTTTTGGGAGAGAAGCGCTATTTCTCTCCCATTTCTTTGAACTTCAACAGCATTTATCAACTGTGCTGCTCATTTTTTTGTTAATCACATACTCCTCAAAAGGCAATGACAGCTGCCTATTTCTTCTTTGGTGTCCTTTTCTGGCCTAGCAAAGTAATCTAACTATACACATACATGTTCAATAAGTATACAAATGAATGACAGTAACAAGCTTTGACAACCTCCCGAGCTTGAGAGCAGCCGAGATTTTTCAAAAAGGGCCAGGAAACCTGAATTCTGCCCCTGGCTCTTCTGTTAAGGGAATGTGACCCTGGGCAAGTGATTTCTCCTCTATGGGCATTAGTTTCATCTGCAAAACTGGGTTATAACAAATGGCCTCACAGGTCCCTTCCAGCGCTAGAATTCAGTAAGAAAAGTGAATTTCACCAAATCGAGCTTGAGAATGTGACGGGGGAATGGGGGGCCGTGTCCCTTCGTCGTCAGACTGGACTGGCGGTGGCGGTGGTGGGGTTTCCTTTGTTGTGCCCTGGAGCTCGAGAGAAGCGGGGTGACGGCTGATGTCAGCCGCCAGTTCCGGGGACCGGCGAAACGGACGGCCATAGGCCGCCCCCGCCCTCAAGTGCCTAAAGACAGCTACCGGTCACTGGAATGGGTAGAACGGCTGGATCGGCCCGCGCCCGGCCTCTCAGGGAAGGCCAGCCGGGGCTACGAGAAGCTCCAGGGGCTGGCCATGGGCCAAGAGAACGAGAAGTTCTCGACGCCCACTCGCTCACCCGATTCGGATACTCCTTCTCCACACAGCCCCCACACATCCCGACGCCGTTCTCTAGGACGGTCCTTCACCGCTTCCGGGAAGACGAAACATCGCGAGAGCAAAAGGAAGGTTGCCGCATGCGCCCTCTGAAGTACTTCGACCCTGGAGTATTTGATTTCGGGAACCTACGCGGAGTCTCCGCCCCGTAGCCGCTGTTGGGTTTCCCAGGCAACAACGCGGAGCCGGGAGTGGGACTTCGGAAACCTACCCGGGAAGAGGGCGGGACCGTGGACCCTGTGGCGGGAACACGAAAGGGACCTCCCGCTGAGCCGTGGTCTTATGGGCGCACTCCTGAGTCTAAACTGACAGAACGGCGAGTTACAACACACACGAAAGGGAATTGTTTCTCGCTGCCTCGGCATACCCCGTACATAAAGCCGAAATTATAATAATTTATGTACCTTTCCGTATCAGTGAGAGTGATAAATCAGCTCTCGGCCGTGAATAAGCAATAACCGAAGTGTTGGGGAAGAGGCACTTACAGCTCTGCAGAGAATCTCCTAAAACTCCTAAAAAGAACTCTCAAAATGTTAATAATAAATGACCATTATTTATCCCATTAGTGGTGGGAAACATTTCTGTGTCATAGAAGCACCTCCGTGGCATGCGCGCACTGGACAAATAGAAAATGGCCAGGTCGACCCTGCAGAGCTGAAAATGTTTGTGGCTGGAGCCCTGCCTTTCCCTTTTCCTTCGTATTGAAAGCATCTTACTTTTCGCAGTAACATAATTAACCTGAATACGAACACCCCAAATCTGTCTTTGTGTTTCTGAACAACCTGTCTTCATACCAGCTACTCCAATGGAAATGATATTCATTAGGAACATCAGCATCCTCCCTTAACCCTACCAGAGTCAAGTCAGTGAAGAAATCAGGGAGCATAGGAGACTGTGGGATCCAGATTCTTTAGAGAAGAGATTAATAACTATTGCAAAGTTCATTCTATTCTTGGAATAATTACAATGACTTCCACTTGTATGACATTTTCAACCTTCCAAGTGGCCTCATTTCAGCTTCTAATTTTATGGCTTTACGACCCTATAAGAATGGTAAGAAAAATGTCTTCCCTTTTCAGATGAAGAAACCGAGAAATAAATAGTGAAAGGTCTTATCTGTGGTAACAAAACTGCTAGCAGTCACCCAGGACTAGGACTTTGTTCTTGTCCTGGGCTCAACTTCTTTCTAATACAGTAGCCAGTAGCCACAATGTGGCTATAAAATATTTTTACATGTGGCAAATTTGAATTGAGATGTATTATCAGTACACCCTAGGTTTAGAAGATGGAATAAAAAAATGTAAAAAATTGTAAAATGTAAAAAAAAAAGTAAAATATTTCATCAGTGATTTTTATATTGATTACATGTTAAAATAATTGGGTTAAGTTAAAAAATATTATTAAAGTTAATTTCACCTATTTTTAAAATCTGGCTACCGGAAAATTTTGAATTACACAAGTGTTTGTATTATATTTCTGCTGGACAAGGCTGGTCTATACAATTCTCTCTCTTGATCCATTTTTTTTAAGTTTCCTCTGTTTTTATTTTCCTTTTTTTTTTTTTTTAAGATTTTATTTATTTATTTGACAGAGAGATCACAAGCAGGCAGAGAGGCAGGCAGAGAGAGAGGAGGAAGCAGGCTCCCCTAGAGAGTAGAGAGCCCGATGCGGGGCTCGATCCCAGGACCCTGAGATCATGACCCGAGCCGAAGGCAGCGGCTTAACCCACTGAGCCACCCAGGCGCCCCAAAATGTTTCCTCTGTTTTTAAAACCTAATGTTGACTTTTAATTTTACTAACTGCTGTATCTATTTTATTCAATTCTATAGACATTTGTTGAGGCCTTCGCACAAGGAACTGTGTGGACAACAGGAAGATGGAAAAGACATTGTTCCTTCCCGTTCTCCAGAGACTCACAATAGAGTGTGAGAGATAAGATGAGCATAAATACCTATAAGTACTGGAAAATTGTGGTTATTTAAGAGCAAAAAACTATTTCCAGGTGGGGACTGGGAACGAGGAATTTGGGCCTTGAAAGATGTATAGGATTTCAAAAGGCAGGGAATTTTAGTATAGGAATTTCAGATGGACCATGGCAAGGAGTTCGGATTTTATCCTGCAGGCGATAGTGAGCCACTGGAAATTTGAGCAGGAGAGTGAAAGAGTTGTGGTTTAGGAAGGTCATTTTAACAGTATTTTATTGGGAATGATTGGAACTAGAATTGGACATTAAAAGGCAAACACTAACAGAAACCACAAGGGGGAGATGTATAACTTTCTGCCTCATCACTTAATAGGGAACAATAATGATTTTAAAAATTAAATAAATAAAAAATACACTGCAGTCAAAGATCTCAAAGAGTTGTTTCTTTGGCATGAAAGACAATCTACATGTTTACCAATTTTCTTTTAACTTTCCAGAGTGATATGGTATCTTGTTATTAAAATGAGCAAGTGAAAAATGTCGTCTATTCTTAGGTATGAACTTTCAAGAGCTAATGGCTATCCATCCAATAAAGTTCTCCATTCAAATCTAAATATATCCAGGGCATAGAGGCAGCAAATGAGATGGGAGGAGGTGGGCAGCACCAGAAATTAAAGTGAGATTATTCCTTAAAGGAATATGAAGGTTTCTGAGTTGACAGAAGAAAGGAAAAGAGAGGCCACGAAGCAGGAGATGGAATGGAAAGGAATGACCAAGTAGTGGTGTAAAATAAGCAAAAAAATGTTACCAAAAGAAATTTATTTTCTTTTCTCTTATAGATAATTATTTAAAATAAAGTTTGTAAGAATCCTTTAAGGATTACCTTCTAATAGAATTTTCTCTGGGACAGTACTCTACCCATAGGAATCTTTAGTAAACATGTCAATAATGTATATTAAGTATGCCCGCCCATGTGTTGCAGTTTATGCATGAGTTTATTTCTTGGTAAAAATAATCCATTTAAGAAACTAGATGCTAAAATAGTTCAATTATGTATGGTAAACTACATCGCTGGGGCAGGATTACAGTTTTCCCTTAAGAGCGCTGTTTGAATTTTCTTTTAACACCCTCTTTCCAGTACCTTTTGTCTTTTGTCTTTTATGATGACTGAAGCTAAGAGGCTAGAAGGATGCAGTGCTTAGAGCATACCTATCATTTTCATCCTTTGTTTAAAGGGGTAAGGAAGCACCATGGAGCCTTTATGGTACCACTCACAGCCCAATTTCACAGATGGAGAGAAACTTATCTCCAAAAAGAAGTTCATCTGCTTGATGGAGGTATGTGTTATTCTTTCCATTATCTCAAGGGAAATGTGAAGCAGGGGTGGTGTTCTTTACGTGCTTTCACCTGCCTGGGGAGAATGAATTAGTAGCAATTCTGGTGTTTTTCACTGTGAACATAGGTGAGCCTGACTGGGAGCAAGTGCAACAAAGATCCTAAGAACTCAGCTTTCTTTTTTCTTTTTTTTTTTAATTCCTTCCTTTCTTTTTTTTTTCTTCTAGTTCAGTGGCCAAGTTGGACTTTCTTTTATTCAGGGTTCTCAAGCCTATTCAGATTGTAAACTCCAGTTTCCAAATACATGACATTAAAAAAAAAAAAAAGATAATTGCTACTGTTCCCCTTTGACTCTGTTTCCTCCAGCTGAAATATACAGATGATTATTTCCATATACAATTTTCATAACATATGTCAAAATTTCTGATTTTCTTTGGGGGAAAATGTTATCCTTCACATTTCACACGGATTGGGATAGACTTAATAATAATCAAAATATAACTGGGTTTTACATATGCTTTTACTTTATTTTATCCCATGTCTAACGTGTGCCCTAAGGATATATTAAAACTCAGAGCAGACTTTTGTTTTCTACTGCCTGTATCAACAACTCTGAGAGGTGAAGGAGTTTGAAATTTTCAGAGAAGCCAACGGAGTGAGGAAATGAAAGTTAAGAAGCTCCTGTTTTGTTCTGGAGAATGGCCAAAAGAGGGAGGTTTACTTCAAGGAAATCCAGGCGCAAAATCCATAGGAATCAAGAAAAATGGGTGGTTTTAAAAAGAGTAGTATGACTTAGAATGGAGAAAAGGTACATAGAAGTTGCAAGGAATATTTGGGAAATAGTATGGTGATTTAAAGTTAAAATTTTAAATACCAGGGTGCCTGGGTGACTCAGTTGGTTAAGCCTCCAACCCTTGGTTTCAGCTTAGGTCATGATTTCTTGGGTTGTGGGACTGAGCCCCAGGCATCAGGCTCTGCACTCATCAGGGCTTTTGCTTGAGGCTCTCTCTCCTTCCCTCTGCCCTTCTCCCCCCTCTCAAATAAATAAATAACTCTTTAAATTTTTTTTTAAAATTCCACCCCAAATTGTATCTTAATAACAAAAGGAGGACCATAAGCAAGTCACTTATTGTCTGGGCTTCAATTTTCTCATCTGTAATGACAATAAAAAATATACCTATCACTCAGGGTGGCTTTATGAAATAATACCCAAAGTTTTAGATAATATGAGTATATATGTATGACTCAAGGGTGCTAAGAAAAGTAATTCTGGCCATAAGCATGAGGTTACCATCAAAGGGTGGATAATATATTAGGAGAAGGGGATTTGTTAATAATGGCTAATAACCTGCCCAAGGTGGGAATCTGTGTCTAGCTGAAATGGATATTTTGAGACTGTGTTCCTTAATTTGTATAATGTGGCTTTGTGCGTTTGAAAAGACTGGATGAGCATGCTGTGGTAGAGAGAACACCATGGGAGAAGAGTTGTGTTAGGGAGGGAAACAATGAGGTAGAGAGCAAAAAATCAGGCTCTTGTCGGAAGCTGACTTGGAAAGTTTCTAAAGGCACAAAGAGCTCCTAATGAATTACAGTTTCCCAGTCCTTCTTTCAGTCCCTTGTATTTTTTTTCTCTTGACAAAATCTTCTTTGAGAACTAATGAGAAAATACACACTAAAGGTTTGAGGGAACTGAGGCATATTATAAAGTGACTATAGAAGACAGTGCCAAGAATGCTACAGTTATAATAAATCACCTTATGTCACTGCCTA